TTACTACACCTTTTAACTATATTTATAAATATCCAGTCTTCTATACTCTTTCCAAATTTATAATTTCTTCACTCCTGTGATTTTTAGCATTGTTATTTATTCTCTTTTTTGTTTCAATTTTTCCTCGGTTTTATATTTCCTGTCGATTGTCTGTCCCTCAGAAAATGCATTTTAACATTAAAATATGTTTTTGAGTTTCATTTTAGACGTCAACAGTCAATTTTCGTCTATTAATTGTGTAAATTTCTTCATGAGATTTATTGTTAAATTTCCTGTGGCTAAACCTTCTAATGCTTTCTTTAACTATTCATATTTTATTAATGTTTCTAATTTGAATTCTTATTTTTTCTAATAGATTGTTTCTGGATACTTTGCTTCCTTCGAACAGTTGCTTTCTTAACCGACTCTTCTAATTTCTACATTTTCTTGACAAACTTTCAAAATGTTTTGCTTGAATCGAATATTTCAAGTGACTTTTGTTTCTTATTGATGCAACTGTTTTGTTTCCCTGACTGTTTCGTGAATGAATTTGTAAATTTCTGGCCCTAAGCCACAAACCCAAGATTTCCGTTTACTAAACCTTTCAATTATATTTATAAATATCTGGATTCTCCCTTTTTGTCGGCTTTATCTTCACTCTTCTATACTCCTTCCACATTGATGGTTTTTTAATTTCTGTGATCCTTAGCAATGCTATTTCTTCTCTTTTTCGTTTCAATCTTTTACTCTTTATTTCAACTAATGTTTCAAATTTTCTTTTTCCTCGGCTTTTTATTTCCGGTGGATTGACTGTCCCTCACAAAATACATTTAACATTAAAATGTGTTTTTGCGATTCATTTGAGATATTAAGCTTAAATTTTCTTCTATTAATTGTGCAAGTTTCTTCATGAGATTTATTGCTAAATTTTCTGTTGGCAGACCTTCTAATGTCTCCTTTGACTCTTCATCTTTTATTAATGTTTCCAATCTGAATTTGTATTTCAGTATATAAAATTGTTTATAAAACTTAATACTTTGCTTGCTTCTAACAGTTGCTTTCTTATCTAATTCTACTGTATGTACATTTGCTTGAAAAACTGAGAAAAATTTTCCATTGACAACTTCATCTTCACTTACTTATGTTTCTATTGATGTTACACTTTTTTATGATGATGTGACTGTTTCGAATAATAATTTTCCGAATTTGTAAACCAACAAACGCATGATTAAGTTAAACCCTTGATTTAAACCTGAAAATATTAGGATTTTCTATATATTTCTTGTATTTTGATCATTTTTTAATTTTCGTGATAATTAGCGTTGTTATTGTTCTTCGCTTCATTTCTTTTTCGGTTTCAACACATATAGAGATCACAATTTGTACTGTTTTTGTGTCAATTTTATATTTTCCTTCGATTATCTGTCTGTTGCTTTCTTAACTCTTTCTACTATTACATACATTTGCTTGAGGAACCTTTTAGATATTTCCATTAGTCAGCATTATTCTCCTTATATCAGCTTCATTTTCCTTTTCTTTAGTTCCACTTATATTTCTCTTTTGCTTGAAACTGGAGATTTTTTTCACTGTTTTTGGCTTTAAAATGTCTTGTGAACGATTAATCTTGTAAAGATATCGAGAATATTTCGAAGCACAGAATTATTCTCTGTTTTCAAACTTTGCTAACAGTTCGGTTGGGGACAAAACAAAGAAAAAAATGCTCACTATTTTGTGTTTATTTTGTACATTTTTTGAGTATTCCGAGTGTTTTATCTTCTGCTGCTTATGCTTTCATATTATTAGTAATTGTTCGTTCTTTGTCGCATTGTTCTTGCTATTTCTGATTTAATTTATTTCTGACAGGTTTTAGTGGTCAATTCAAAATTAGTAACATTTTTTTCATATTTAATGCAATAAAAGGCTATTGCATTTGCAGTTTATTTCTTTTGTCTTCAACTCAGTTGATGTATTTTACATTGTTTTAAAAATACTTTTAAATTTTGTCAGCATTATCTTCAGTCAGACGCGTTTTCCTGGGTTTGATTTTCTTTTTTATTGTGTTTGTTTTAGAGCATTTTTTAAGTGTTTCGAGCGTTAGTCTTCTGCTGTCTATGGTTTCATATTATTAGTTACTGTTCGTTTTTTGTCTCATTCTTCTTGCCATTTCTGATTTAATTTATTTCTGACTATTTTCCAGTTTTACTTTTAATGATTATAAAATTTTAGTCCTCAATTCAGAATTAGTAACAACTTTTTACATTTAATCCAAGAGCGTTTTCTATTTGTTTCTTTTGTCTTCAACTTTTTTTTATCGTAAATCTTTGTCCGTGTGATCATTAGCACTTTAACTTAAATCAGTTCATATATTTTACATTGTCTTATAAATATTTTTAAATGTTGTCAGCTTTTTCTTCAGTTCCTTACATTCCTAATTGATAATGCAATTGTTATATTTTACTGATTCTTTTTCGGATTAATTTCGTGCCTTAAGTCATGAACGCATTGTTAATTTTGTAAATCTCTGAATTTAAAATATTCAAAAACATTTGAATTTTTTCGTTTTTGTCCACTTTGTCACCAGTCTTCTATATTTCTTCCTAATTGATGATTTTTCATTCCGGTGATAATTAGCGCTGTGGTTTCTTCTTACTTATTTTTTTTTGGTTTCCGGGCATATAGAGATCACAATTTGGACTTTCATTTTATATTCATGCTTTTTCATATATGTCATGCTTATCTTTGAATTTCTGTTTTTCATTTATTAATTCACTACTTACTACTAATCTATTACAACTTTTTTTGTTAAATTTTCTGTGGGAGACCTTCTAATGCTTCCCTTAACGCTTCATATTTTATTATTGTTCTTAATCTGATTTCTTCTAATAGATTGTTTATAAAACTGGATACTTTGCTTCCTTCGAACAGTTGCTTTCTTAACCGACTCTTCTAATTTCTACATTTTCTTGACAAACTTTCAAGATGTTTTGCTTTAATCCAAGATTTCCAGTGACTTTTTTTTTCTTATTGATGCAACTGTTTTGTTTGCCTGACTGTTTCGTGAATCAATTTTGTAAATGTTTGGCCTTAAGCTACAAACCCAAGATTTCCGTTTACTAAACCTGTCAACTATATCTATAAATATCTGGATTCTTCCATTTTTGTCAGCTTTATCCCAGTCTTCTATACTCTTTCCACATTGATGATTTCTTCATTCCTGTGATCCTTGGAATTGTTATTTCTTCTCTTTTTTGTTTCAATATTTAACTATTTATTTCAACTATTGTTTGAAATTTTCTTTTTCCTCGGTTTTATATTTTCTGCCGATTGACTGTCCCCACAAAATTAATTTTAACATTAAAATGTGTTTTCCAGTTTCATTTGAGACATTAAGCGTCAATTTTCGTCTATTAATTGTGTAAGTTTCTTCATGAGATTTATTGTTAAATTTTCTGTGGGTAGACCTTCTAATGCCTCCTTTAACTCTTCATATTTCCTTGATGTTTCCAATCTGAATTTGTATTTCTCCGACTAAATTGTTTATAAAACTGAATATTTTGCTTGCTTCTAATTTTCCATTGTCAGCTTAATCTTCACTTACTTTGGTTTCTATTGATGTTGTACTTTTTCTGTGATGATGTGACTGTTTCGCATAATAATTTTCCAAATTTGCAAAGCTACAAATGCGTGATTAAGTTAAACCTTTGAATTAAACCTAAAAATATTGGGATTTTCTCATTTTTGTTAACTTTTTCATCAATTTTCTATATTTCTTGTATTTTGGTGATAATTAGCGTTGTAATTTTTTCTCGCCTCATTCCCTTTTCGGTTTCAACACATATAGAGATCACAATTTGTACTGTTTTTCTCAGTATGATATTTTTGTTCGTTTATCTGTCTAATATTACATACATTTGCTTGAAAAACCTTTTAGATCTTTTCCTTAGTCAGCGTGATTTTTTTTGTCGTAAAAATGTCTTGTGAACGACAGGACATTGTATTCCTCCCATTGCGCATGAAGAAATTGCAGAAAGTCATCTGCAAAAGACATTTTAAGGCAACAATCTTCAATTTTGATCAACAGGAGAAAGTAGGAAAAGTGAAACAAATTGAGGATTTTTAGAAGCAATCTCGAAGCTAAATTACAGGAAAAAAACTGGTCAGTTTTTCGGCCTTTTCGGCGGTTGTGCAGAAAAACATTGCTGTCGTTTCGCAAGATCGAGTGGTTCGCTTCTTCGCAAGCGTTTTTCTTCCAAATCTTACACTGGACTGATGCTGATAAGCTTTTGAGCGAAAACACCTGAGTAGATCCGCCTTTCAGGGAATTTTATCCTATTCTAAACTTTGTCGTCAGGTTTTGATATATTTTCTTTCCCCTGATCAATCAATTTATTTCCTTCTTTTAGGTTTTAACACAAACTTTTACTTCTCATGCTTCCATATTTTTTTCTCTATTTATTTTATTGTTTGTATTTATTTTAATATTTACTTTCCTAGCGGTGGCAAAATGCATTTTTTTAAATTATAATGTGCTTTAAAATATGAATTGTGGACAATTTCATGACAACTTTTTCATCATTGACTGAAGTCTTGTGGTTTTCTTATTACATCCACTTTTGAACAATGACTTTCTATTTTGTGACTGGGTTTTCTTTTAACCTGCTACTTTTGCAAAGAGTTGCTTTATTTTATTGATTCTTTTACCTTTCGTACTTCTTGGCCGGAAAACCTGTTTTAAGAGTTTTCTGACCCTTCCTGAAAAGACGAGCTGTTTTTTCAATCAAAGTATCCGACGTTTCGGTTCGATTTGTCGCAAACATTCTCAAAGACAGTGTAGAAGAAAAAGGATGTTGCTGTTTTTAGATGCCCTTTGAAAAATTCAGTAGAAACACCTTGAGCGCTTCAGAATCAAAGTTATCACGAACGAATCCAACGTCCCCTCTTCCCCTGTTAATTCATCCCAAAATCGATAAGAATTTTACAAGGAACCGGAACCGCTTGTAGCAAAGTTAACCAAAAGCCGGTTAGAGAAACTTCAGACACGCATTATATTAAACTATTTCCGGCACAAGCATTCAGGTCTGAATCCAATCAGATTGCAGATCAGAGTCTTAAAGTACAACAAGGCCTGATCTTGAGTCGTCTGATCGTAGGTGCCGTTCAGGATAATGGTGGGAATGAATGTAGGGCTGACCAAGTTAGTTTTCCTGCCGTTTTCTGATAGCAATTCATCGCCTTTTCCATTGACCACGCATTCCTGGATTTCGCTCCAGGACAAGTCCACTTCCTCAGCGCACTGAAACAAGCATCAGAAATCAGTTGCTCTGCTACCTCTAGTATTAGGAGTAGCAACCTGCTGCAAGTTGGTGTCGTCGGCAGGAGCGTCTGAGCGCTCAGAACAGAACACAAACTCAGTGCTTACTTCCTCGGAAGCCATGTCAATTACACAGGCGTGCACTTTGTTGCCATAACACTCAGTGGGACCGTGCTGGCAGGTGAAGTTCTTCACGCCATCGATTTCTTCTTCCTGTCGACCAGCAGAAGGAAGGAGTTGTGGAAGTTGCTCTTTCCAGGTACTTACCGAGGCGTGCCCCCAGGGGACCAGCTCTAAGTCAATGTATTCCTTCAGTGCATAATAGCCTGGATATAATTGGTGGACAATGAAAGAAATACTGTCGGGACACAAAGTTTCATAGTAAACGGACACCTGCACCAATGGGCTGTCGTCATCCCGAAGACTTTTGCCCTGGAAGCTTAACAGTTGCAACCGGACGTAAGATGGAAGATATCAGTCACTTACCTGGGCAGCTGCTAAAAGAGCCAGGGAAACAATCAGCAGAGTCTTCATTTTGTTGAGAATTCAACGACTGAGTGGATGATGCGACAAGTTTTCATTTATACTAATTACAGGAAATTGATTGTGTTAATCTGGGTCTTATCTGGAACGTATGTGGCAGACTAACTCTAATGGGGATTTGAAACTACTTGAAAACCGCTGTTCTGAAGTGCATTCTACTAATATCTTGATGAATTATTAAAGGAAAACTTCTCAGGTTTCATTCCAGTTTCCTGCCTACTTCAGCTTCCAGCCAAACCTCGGATGTTTAGGAGGTCAGTTCTCGCGGACTTTGAACCATCGGAAAGGCGTTTTGAGAACAAAATCCCGTGCTCAGACGTTATTTTTCCAGCGGGGTTTTCTGTGTGTCAAGTAATCTATTAAAAATCCTAATCTGTTCTAAATGGAAAGTCACCAGCCATCCATCAACTGGGGAATTAGAACAATAAGCCTGGTAATGGGCAGATAAGCGATTTAAAATTGCTCGGTTGCGCAACGACTTGGCCTATTATAAAGCCCGTTCTTGTCTGCGATGGTTCAAATGCTCCAAATCTGGGTTTTGCTTGAACTTCTCCGACCACTTTTCACTTCTTTCGTGCTCGTTCCACGTGATGTTGGAATTGAGCGGGGGAAATGCTTGGGGAAGTTGCTCGGAGATTTCTTTGATCCACATCAAGGTTTCTCAGTAGTTGGAAGCTCAGAAATACCGGGAATTTTTCTGAGCCACTTGGTGCAAACTGAAAATGCCCACACAAGCGCGCAACTTATTCTGATCCTACCTGATCAAACAGTACTGGCTAATCTAAATAATTTGCAGGATAAAAGATTTTTGATAATCACGTCCTCAGAACCGGATTTGTCCTCCAAGTGGATGGCTTCAGCCGAAAAGAACAGAAATAAATGGCTTTTTGCCCATTGGGGTTCTGCAGGTCAGCTCAGGGTGGTCACCAACTTGCAGCAACAAAATCCTATCTGCTCCGCGCAATTTTACTACCGAAAGTACCAGGATTTTTGCGAAAGTTTCCACTTTAGCAAGGAAAAGGTGAATTTAAGTCTGCGTTGCCAGCTACGCGTCATCCAAATACCTGGAGAAACGCTAGCTGCTCATGCAAATGGCCAACATGCTGGATTGGTTTATAAAATCGTGGAAACCTATGCCAAGTGGGCGCAAGTGGATTTATTTACTGGTGAGTCAAAGAGTGTCAGCAGTTTTAGGAATTTATTATTCTTTATATTACGGCGCTTCTCTTGCTCTCACTCTCTTCTCGGTGTGTTGTACTTCTATTTTTTTTTCATTTCTCTTCCTTATGTCTAATAATTGTAGTAAAACGTTCATTATGTATATGAAATATTTTTTTAATGCGAATTAATGAAATAAACAGGAAACGCGTTCGAAAAATAAAAACCTGCTAAAAATAGCAGGACACCTGAAAAGTGTATTAGCTTTAAACAAACGCGTAATTTTTGCCATAAATGCGACAAAAATCCATTGATTTTTCGAAAGACCTCAATTCATGTCAAACTTAAGGCATGACAACTCACTCATGACAAACTTGAGGGGATATTGGACTAGAATGTGTCAAAACCTGACAGTTTTTACTCAAAAGTGGCAACTGACGTCTGCCTAAATTTGACAGTTGACAGTGGACAGCAGAGATCTGCAAATGCTTAAATGTGCAAACAAAAAAAATGGCTGATTTGTTCAAATTTAAAAAAATGTCAAACGAAAAACTGCTTCATTAGTTTTATTTCCGGACGTGAACCCTAATCAGCCGATAAGAAGTGTCAAAGTTTGACATCTTTGGAAAAATCACGACAAAAATGGATTATTCCTGAAAATTTTCGCACTAACCAAAACGCCCAGTTTTATAACAATTAGCTACGAAAATATTAATAATAAAATCTTTAAAATATCTCAACAAGAAGACAAAAATTACAAAAAAGTTGCTTGATTGATTTAAAGTATCTGCTAAGTTTTACAAGTATTGGACTCTGGCACCTGTCAAAATTGACAACTTTGACGAATCTGTGCCCGATTTTGTCAGCATTTATTCAAGATTGTCACTTGGCTTGTTGAAAAATGAGCGATCTGCAAATGCTTAATTGTTCAAACTAAAAAAAAATGCTGATTTCTTCAAATTTAAAAAATGTGAAACGAAAAACTGCTTTATTAGTTTTATTTCCGGACGTGAACCTTAATTAGACGGTAAGAAGTGTCAAAGTTTAACATCTTTCGAAAAAACGCTACAAAGATGGATTATTTCTGAAAATTTCACAGCTTTAACCAAAAGCGCCCTGTTTTAAAACAAATAGCGACGAAAATCTTTAAAGTATCTGCAAAATTTTTCAAATATTAAACGCTGGCACCTGTCAAAATTTTATAAATCCAATTCAAGTAAGAATTTTGACGAAACTGTGCCCGAGTTTGACAGATTTTATTCAAGATTGTCACTTGGCGTTTGTCTAAATTTGACAGTTGTTGAAAAATAACAGATCGGCAAATGCCTAATTGTTCAATCTGAAAAAAAAATCTGATTTCTTCAAATTGAAAAAAATGTGAAACGAAAAACTGCTTCATTAGTTTCATTTCTGGAGATGAACCTTAATCAGCCGATGAGAAGTGTCAAAGTATGACATCTCTGGAAATAACGTGACAAAGATGGATTATTCCTGAAAATTTCAGCACTTTAAACAAAAGCGCGCTGTTTTATAACAAATAGCGCGCCCTTTAAAATTTTTTATAAATGTTGGACTTGTGCCATCAAGCCCCACCATCTACTATCAAGGTTACGATTTCTCGGCTCAAAAACACTGGATCCAGCTTGGTAGTACCAGGGACAATATGTGGCCGAGAAACTGAGATGATATTGGATACTGGTTCAACCACACCATCGTAAAACCTGATGTACTTTTTAATTGCCACCATCGGAGTCAAAGAAGAAGTACTGGAATGAACTATGTTTTGGAATCAGCAAATGGAGAAAATATACCCATCAAAGGTACGCATTTGGCAAGTTTTACCTTAGGCAGTATTACCTTTACCCACCTCGTTCTTGTTGCGGATATTATGGATAATGTTATACTTGGCTTACACCTGATGGAAAATCAACGTTTTATCTTGGACATGCCACAAAGAGTATTAAGATGTGGAAATGAAGAAATTGTTCTTTCGAGCCCAACGGCATATGCCCAAGGAGCTAGAAAAATTGAACTGTTCGAAGATTACGAAATTCCGGGAAAAACTGAACTGATTGCCTTGGCTACTTGTAAAGACGAATTTGACGAGAATGTCGTAATAATGGAAGGAGATCCTGAATCAAAATTATGCCGAAAAGGTATTGTGCTCGCAAGAACTTTATCAAAAACTAGAAATCACGTTGTGCCTGTACGTTTGATGAATGTAACCGAGCATAGCCAACTATGAAAGAAAGGAGAGACACTTGGTACCTGGGAACCGGCATGCACGATTGTTGCCTGTGAAGATTTACATTGCAAAAGGGTTGTTCCCAAGAACCTCCCTCAAGCGTTGAAGAATTTGGCAGACAAGTCTTCGAAAAACCTAACCGAAGTTCAGGCGCACCAAGTGGTCAACCTTCTGAAAAGAAATTTGGACGTGTTTGCACTCTCTGAAGACGACTTCGGCAAGACAGATGTAGTTCAGCATCGAATAAATACTGGCGATGTTGCTCCAATTAAACTGCCT